GCTAGACAGATAGCTAGACAGATAGACAGATAGATAAACACATTCTCAAATGAACACTTCTGAAACATATTCTCAAATGAACACTTCTGGGACATATCTCGAAAATTATGAATGATTTTTGATTGTCAATTGAAACATTAATCAATCTAAAATTATTTAGAATGCAGAAAATAAGTTAAAGTAACTTGATTTTGACGAGAATTTTTTTTGAAATTTTCGTGAAAAATTTGCTGAAATGAGTGAAAATTATAAAAAAGCGGTGTATTTCCAGGATAAAAATCCGTACAATTTGAAAAAAAATCCGTACAACCCGTACAATTTTAGGGTTACAAAGAAAAAAATCCGTACAATCCGTACATTTTGGCCACCCTGTAGATTATTGTAATTCTGAGCATCCATAAAACTTTCCTGGGATCATATGTAAGGTCCCACAAAAAAATTTGAGTTTACTCGGTCCAGCCGTTTTGACGTTTATTAGTTACAAACAAACAAACAAGCAAAGTATAAATATATTAAGATTGGAGAAACTGAAACAGAAAAATTGTTTAAAGAAATTTTACTTGTTTTCTCAATTCCCAAATACCAAACATTTCTTACTAAAAGTTTTTGCAAATAGAGTAAATTCGTTTGTACAAGTTTTAAATTGAATCTACCTGGAAGAAAAAGGCAAGAATTCCCAAGAGAACAAATGAGAGCTGCAGAATTCACATTCCTTCTTCTCATCAGTTCTAGCAAAGCTTCGTCCTGCAGGAAGACCAGGGTCTTCCTTGTTGAAGGTGAGTCGATCAGTTGGCATCTCATCCCTGTTTAACACGTTTTATCATTTTAACCTTATGTTCTAGGAAGGGGGGGGGTCTGGAGATAATTATACTCTTGAGGGCATTCCCCATTCTTTCAAGAAAAAAGTTCCAGTTAAGATTAAAGTTCAAATACAAAAGAAATTGAGTTTTTGCCATACATTTTCTCATCCCTGTATCTTTGCTAGCTATAATGGTATAGACCCTTGATATTAAAAACTTAAACTATGTAATCAAACAGACCTTATAGTTTGAAATATCAAAGGTCTACAAAATAAATCTTTTAAAGATGTAATTATTATAAAGATTTATTCACACACAAAGATATAAATACATATATAAATGGTGTAGTTTAAATTTGTTAACTTCCCTTAACTCATATTTAAGAAACAACCAAATTTTACTAATCCATAAAAATTTAAAAAATGTTTTTCATTTTGTTTTATAATAATAAAGTTTATAACAAGATGAGCACAAAGACAAAGTATTCAAGAGCGGCCAGGAGTCCAAGCAGTGGTAGTTTCAGTATATGAAGGAGGAAATGTACAAACATTTTCTCAATCCATGAGACATGAGAAGGAGGAGACTTTCTCGCTGAACTCTACCATATTCTCCAGAATAATAGTCATGAAATACGAAAAACGATAAATTCCTCAAGTTAGTAACAGGGAAAGTGGTCTAAAAGGAACCGTAAGCGTGATTTCAAGTTACCCTCCATCCAAAGATGACAATGTCCGATAAATCATTAAAAGCTTTGTCTGGTCAACTATGAAAGCTAGATATCAAAGTTTGATAATCTTGAAAACTGATTATCACTGTTTCTCTAAAACAGTAACTTGTACATTTCTACTGCAGAAAAACATATCAATGCATTAAGGGACACTTGAAATTACGCTATTATTTCCTTCATATAAAACTTGCACACAAATGTGCATAGAGTTAATTCACTGTGAACTAGACAGAAGAATTTATACGATATTACTGCTTCGACTTTGTGACCTCGTAGGTCCTTTAATTTTGATTTTCTGCACAAGCTTAGAAAAGAAAATTATGCGATCATTTATTGAACACATTTTTTCCCCTCAATATCTTCAGATGAGTTATGATTGAAAACATATAAGATTTCAAACTTAAGTGCAATTTACTTTAGTTTGACGTGAATTAAACAAGAAGAGTATCTATATTTATTATACTGTTTTGTCGACCAATATTATTTTTTAAGAAATAAAGGAGTCAACATATGAAACTTCTTCTTTTTCAAAGTGTTGCAGTTTTAACTTCCTGGAATTTATTACTAAATGTAATCGTTTACTGCAGGTTTATAACGGTCCTCAGGGAGCAATTTAGCATTAAGCTTTTTAACAGAGGTTATTTATGTGTTTTGCAGAGTAAAATATTTTCAGTCGTGGCCCAGTAGATTGTTCTTGTAATCTGAATATACTTCTGAAGAATACTCAGATAAGAAATCAAAATCTAACGGAGATAGAAGAATTGGAAAAGTTTCACAAATCAAGTTCAAAATGGATTCCAATTTGATAAAAAGTGACCCTTTATCAGAGAGGGATTCAACAAGTCCATCGGCATTCTTTTAAACATATAGCAAAGGATAAATGACGTGAATTAGATAAACATAAAGGAATTGATTCTTTGCCACAAGCTCTGATTTTCATATTCTCATATCTCTGCAATCCAATGTTGTAGACCTTAGAAATTTCCAATTATGATTTTTTTTAATCAAACAATCTTAGTGTGAAAAAAAATTCTAAGTTTCAGGTTCCAATTTGAGTTTCTGGCAATGTAGTTGTCCCACCTCCTTACAA